ATCGGGGAGGACCACATCCTTACATATTAGTCCATCTAAATTAGAGGAGCGGATTTGCGGCGCTAACTCTCGGTATCAGCGGCTCCTCATGTGATAACGACTGACCGGCCACATTATAAACATTATTTACCAACCTATTTCCTCTTCCAAAGCCGGTACTAGACATCAAACTTGTATACTCTCATAAAATCTCTGGTCACGCTTAGTACCGATGTGTTGTCGAATGCAATTTGCTTTACACCCATGCTTGGCATTGGAGGATGCTCCCTTAAAGTAATGCCTCGACTCTCGGCGAGATCGAATGGTTTGCTTATATCCTCGACGTTCGTATTGGGTTTAAGGTTCCAGATTTTAATGTCTCCTCGCACATCCCCAGTAACACATCTATCATTAGCTATAGCGACGCTTGAGGCGGCGCAATTGTGTCCATTGAGAGTCATGTGAAGCCTCAGTGAAAGATATTTAGGTGTGGTGGGCAACTTGCTGTGTTCTTTCAAACACTCTGTCAGCTCAAATACTTCAACAACATTGTCTTCACGGGCCAAAGCAATCCACCGACTATTCCTGCTGATAGAGATGTCAAGTATGCGAGAGGTACGTCGTGCGCTTTTAATGTCCTTATTTGCGTTTGTGTAAAGGCAATCACCCGAACGGAGTGGAAATGTCTGCACAGCGACTGAGTACAGACTGGGGAATGATGGCGTTATATAGGCCACGACTACATTCCACGAGTCTTGATCGATATGTATCGAAGCTGGGTGGTAAGCTATCGAGGAGGTATACGATTGAATGAAAGTTGGTTGGATGGCGACGTGGTAAATAGTCAATCTAAACCTGTCGGTGCATGTGATATAGTATGGGCTATTGAGAGATGTATAAAGAACTTTTTCAAATCCAGCATCCACTCGAGGCTTCTTTTGGTATAGGTGGCTTTCAAGCTGATTTGTTTGTGTTTTGAATGAGAAAATGCTGAAACTTTTGTCAGTGAAGCAAATAGCAACTCGAATAACGCCATCAGAATGATATGAAAGATTGCTATCGATGCTTATATCGGCTATTGGCTTCAATTTGAACTCCGCCAGTATAGATTTATCGGACAACTCCTGTTCAGCGTCAACAGGGCTAAAAGAGTGTACAAATAATGTTCCTGAATTGCGTAGTGTGCTGAAGACATAATTTTCGTGAAGTTGTGTGAGTATTTTGTCAGAATTCGTGTTAATAGAAGAAGAAGTCGCTCTTCCGGTGCTCCAGTTTCTAGAGATACGATATAGCTTGTGATAATCAGAATGCGAGCTTCTTGGAGTCATTATAAGCTGGGCGGTTCTTGAGTAATGTTTGTTCCACAGAATTGGGTCATCTGACAGCCTTCGAAAGCGTCTACAAGTCCCTCTAAGCTGTACGTTATGCTTCCAATCAATGTTTTCGAATATATGCAGAACTATTTCGTCGCTGAGTTTCTCAAATGAGTTCATTTCGGTGGTTTTTGATTAACCACCAACAAGACCTGGCAGTCCGCAGA